CACGAGGTAGGGGGCGCGCCCAGGGGGGTAGGGCGTGCCCTCCACCCTCGTGGTTGGCTCGGGACTCTTCTGGCTCAACTTTTGTTTCGGGGGCTTCTTCTGGTCCATAAAAAATCTCTGTAAGTTTTCAGGTCAATTGGACTCCGTTTGGTATTTCTTTTCTGCAATACTCAAAAACAAGGAAAAACCAGAAACTGGCACTGGACTCTAGGTTAATAGGTTAGTCCCAAAATTCATATAAAATAACATATAAATTCATATAAAACATCCAAGATGGATAATATAATAGCATGGAACAATAAAAATTTATAGATACGTTGGAGACGTATCAAGCAACTCTAGTAGACCCCGCAAAAACCGCAAACCTGCAAAATTCCGGCGAGTATATGGGCTCGGCCCAATTTTCTAGCCAAAACAGAGCCCGTATACTCACCCGGCCCGTAAAAATATTTACCGCGACCCGCAAACCGCCCACCCCGACCAGTATATCTACGGGTTCGCGGTGCGTTTGCGGGTCGAAACCCTATCCCCCCCCCGCCGCCGAGCCCCGCAATTCCCCACTCCCCTCTGCACATTATTCGCCGCCGCCGAGCCCCTTCCACCTCCAGCCGCCATGTGGGGTTGCATGTGGAGCTCCGGACGCGGTTCTGCTACGTCTTGAGCTTGCGTTGGTTTTCCTTGAAGAGGAAAGGGTGATGCAGCAAAGTAGCGTAAGTATTTCCCTCAGTTTTTGAGAACCAAGGTATCAATCCAGTAGGAGGCTCCTCAAAAGTCCCACGCACCTATACAAACAAACAAGAACCTCGCAACCAACGCAATAAAGGGGTTTTCAATCCCTTCATGACCACTTGCGAAAGTGATATCTGATAGAGATAATATGATAAGATAAATATTTTGGGTATTTTTATGATATAGATTGGAAAGTAAAAGATGCAAATAAAAGATAGATGAAAACTTATATGATAAAATATAGACCCAGGGGCCATATGTTTCACTAGTGGCTTCTCTCAATATAGCATAAGTATTACGATGGGTGAACAAATTACTGTCGAGCAATTGATAGAAAAGCGCATAGTTATGAGATTATCTAGGCATGATCATGTATATAGGCATCACGTCCGTGACAAGTAGATCGAAACGATTCTGCATCTACTACTATTACTCCACACATCGACCGACTCCTCCCTGCATCTAGAGTATTAAGTTCATGAAGAACAGAGTAACGCATTAAGAAAGATGACATGGTGTAGAGGGATAAACTCATGCAATATGATATAACCCCCATCTTTTTATCCTCGATGGCAACAATACAATACGTGCCTTGCTTCCCCTGCTGTCACTGGGAAAGGACACCGCAAGATTGAACCCAAAGCTAAGCACTTCTCCCATTGCAAGAAAGATCAATCTAGTAGGCCAAACCAAACTGATAATTCGAAGAGACTTGCAAAGATAACAAATCATACATAAAATAATTCAGAGGAGATTCAAATATTTCTCATAGATAAACTTGATCATAGACCCACAATTCATCAGATCTCGACAAACACACCGAAAAGAGTTACATCGAATAGATCTCCAAGAAGATCAAGGAGAACTTTGTATTGAGATTCAAAGAGAGAGAAGAAGCCATCTAGCTAATAACTATGGACCCAAAGGTCTGTGGTAAACTACTCACAACTCATAGGAGAGGCCTTGGAGATGATGTAGAGGCCCTTCGTGGTTGATTTCCCCTCCGGCAGAGCGCCGGCGAAGGCTCCAAGATGGGATCTCACGGATACAGAAGGTTGCGGCGGTGGAATTAGGTTTTCGTGGTCGCCTCTGATGGTTTTAGGGTACGGGAGTATATATAGGAGGAAGATGTAGGTCAGTGGACGCTCGAGGGGCCCATGAGGGTGGGGGGCGTGCCGGACACCCTTGTGGCCGCCTCGTTCGTTGCTTAACATCCACTCCAAGTTCCGGTGATTGCATTTGTTCCAAAAAGATCGCTCCCTAAGGTTTCATCCCGTTTGGACTCCGTTTGATATTCCTTTTCTTCGAAACACTGAAATAGGCAAAAAAACAGCAGGGCTGGGCCTCCGGTTAGTAGGTTAGTCCCAAAAAATGATATAAAAGTGTAAAGCAAAGCCCATAAACATCCAAAACAGGTAATATAATAGCATGGAACAATAAAAAATTATAGATACGTTGGAGACGTATCAGGCTCCGGGAGCAGATCCGGTGGCAACAGCGACCCCGAGCGTGAGCGGCGCGTCCGGTCGGACGGCGCAAGCAAGCACGGGGCGAGGAAGTGGACCAACGCGGCCTCTCGCCGCCGCCGAGCTTCCGCGTCTGGGAGGCGGAGCGCCGGCGCCACCACGAGGAGCTCAAAGACCTCATGTTCCAGCAGGTGGCGGCGGCCAACCTCGCCGCCAAGGAGAAGGATGACGAGTGGCAGCGCATCCGCGAGGAGCAGAGGGAGAAGTACATCGACCTCGGCAGCTCTGGCGAGGAGGGTTGAGCTCCTTCACGGTGTAGTCCGTGGCCGCAAGCTCGCTGCCGTGGGATCTCCACCACCTCTAGTACTAGCACTGATGTAGTATGTAGTATGAACTAGTGTTTGATCATGTAATATATGTAGTATGTGATGAACTACTATGGTGCAATTTCTCCCGCGAATCTGTTTTTTCAAATTATGCAGTTTCATCTACGGTTTCTGATCGGCCGCGCTCATTCTCGACCCCGCAAACGAGATTTTCGTCGAGCTGCAAACGCGTTTTGCAGGTCGGGATTTTGCGTGGTCTGCTAGAGTTGCTCTAAAACGTATTTTACGAGTATAACCAGCTAGAAAACAACATTCCACACATGGCCTAAGATGAATCGAGGAACCGTCTCATTCTCACCCGATTGGGAGCCATGCAAATTTACACACCGAAAAAAACATACAAGTGTATTTTACTATCACACCAAAGAAAGCTATAGCAACATGTTTGAAAACTTCCAAATTTTTTAAGCATATTAATAAAAACTATTGTACATGTGGGTAGGAAAAAACACATTTGCATCTTTTTTGCCTATGCAATTTCTCTAGAATGGTGTGGTTTTACTTTGGTTTGAAAATTTATATGCCGAATCACAATCTTTACCCTACTGATACCATTCTACAAATCTTATCCGTGAAGCACCCATAGCTAAATTTAAGCAGTATTTTTACTATTCTCTGAAATATTTGAAAATCTAGCACCCAGAGCTAAATTTAAGCACGATTTTTTACTATTCTCTGGAATATTTGGGAAGCTAGAAAGGACCTTCTCTTTAAAAAGAGAACTTGAAGTCCTATGCAGACAATGTAGGTAATCCATGCTACAAAGGCAATGCTAAATGCAGGTTCAATGGAGGATTGTGAAGAGGACTATAGGCCTCCTACTCTTAAACCATCCAATCCCTCCTCAAATGCAATTTCTTTTGTTTTGCCTGCATGTTTTAAAGCATATGTTAACGTGGCCTTTTAATCCTTTAGTAAATGAAGCATTTTTAGGAAGTTGAGTTTTTTAGCTCTCGAGTGAGCAGTAAAATCAAATTTGAAAAAATTCAAAAAGTTCTGATTTTTTTGATGAAAACATTGACAAAAGTTTTATGTGCTCACAAAATTTCATCTTGAAATCACATTATTGGAAGTCGTGGCAAAAAAACAAAATTGATGCTCCAAAAGTGTTATTTTCGAAAGCATTTTGGAGTGTTGATTTTGTTTTTTTGCCACAACTTCCACGAATGTCTTTTCAAGATGAAACTTTGTGGGCACATAAAACTTTTGTCCATGTTTTTACCAAAAAAAATTAAGAATTTTTTGAATGTTTTTTTTTCTAATTTTACTGTTCATCCCGAGCAGAAGAAGTTTTGGCATTTTAGGAGTATTTCTGAGGAATGAGCTCAATCGCCATACAATATTTATACGAGCTACTTTCACAAAAGCATATTAGATTTTGCAGGCCGAAGTTTTGGGACTCCTCCTTGCTGCAGCGATCGCCAAAGCCTCTAACTGGAGCTTGAGTCTTTTTCTCTGATTGCAGGACACTGGTAGAAGCGGCGGAAGCCAAGAATTTAATCCAAAACCCAGGGCATTGAAAGATTAGGACTATCTTAGCTGAATTCTTGAGCATCATCTCTACATTGGATTCTTGTAAGGTCAAGCACATTCCAAGACTCCGGAATACTTTGGCTCATTCTCTTGCAAAAAACGCTTCTCAGATTAAATCTTCTTCTTCTTGGACTTCCTTTGCAGCAAGGTTTCAAGATGTAGCCGCAAAATGACTTTTCAAGCCATCTCCTTTCCTACGAGTAATCGTTATCTGTAGATTGTTTAGGATGTTAATGAATATATATATATATATATATATATATATATATATATATATATATTTGAGACAAGTTAATGAATAATATTTAGCCCTCTTTGAGAGCTTTGCAAAGAAGAAGAAGAAGAAGAAGAAGAAGAAGAAGAAGAGAGTAGACGACCTCTTGACCGGACCCGAATCCGGGCCGAACCTAATCCGGGCACAGCCCAGCCCACAAGGCCGGACGCCGCAGAAACATCGGAATATTCCGTCGACCCCTCCTCCCTCTCCCTCATCCCCTCCCCATTCC